GATCCTCCTAATGGTACTCAGGGATCATAGTGGGTACCAAGAATTGAGCCGAGGTTGGTTTCATGCTGGGCAAACACCCTGCCCACTGCACAATTTTCCTGTAACAGAGTTTCTTATATTTTTTCCACTTTTCACTAGAAAAAATTTTACATGACTATTTAGGTATAAAGTTATATAAAATAGGTATGCAAATCAAGCATTTACTGATAAATCAAAGAAATTTAAAATTTTAGGTTTTAAACAACCCACAGTTTAAGAAGTTATGCCCGTGAAATAAAATTTAAACAATATCAAGCCAAAAGATTATATATTATCACTAAAGGTTGCTGCATGGTGCTTTAAATAAAAAACTCAAATCCAGATATGACATAACTAGTTTTGATTATCACACTAAAGGAACTTATCTTGTAGATCCTGCAGTATCAGAAGAGGACTTACAATTTTTTTTAGAAACCTGGTCCAGGTGGTTACACGGAGGAAGTCCTAGAGAAGAGAACAGGTGAAGCTGGGGCCATGTCCTCTGTACAGAAGGGACACTGCAGTGAAAATAGCATCAGGGATTGTGCCCAGTATATGATGGGCAATGGTAAAGAGAAAGAAAGATCTCAGAGATGCTCAAGGGCGCCTCATTGCACGATCCCCCGCTAATCAGAAAAGCCTCTGAAGGGCAGCAGCAGACTTAGCCTCCTGTGGCTGGGAGGAGATAAATCATAGCTCATCAAAGAACGTTCAAAGAGCTCAAGCTGCTTTGTGAGACAGCCAGCTCAGGTGTAGTTAAAAAAAATCCTCGAGAAAGGGCCAAAGAAGAGTACAAAGCAGTTGGCGAAGTCTTAGAGGAAGTCTGGAGGATCTTAGAGACCATCCTGGACCGCATCTGTGTGGACAGTCAGCTTAGGTGACCTCTCACAGCTTCCCAGTCATTGCCCTCATTCTGACACACAAATCCCTAGGGCTCCAGAGGAAACCCTTCCCTGCAGAACTGGAGCTTCATCCCCTTGGAGTGGTAGAGGCAGGAAATACTTACTGAGGAAGTCTGAAGACACGAAGTGGCCAAGGTCAAATTCAAGCCAAATGGCTCTCAAATCCAGATGCTCCCTCCAGTCCAGCCTTGGCAACCACTGGAATTACATCCAACCAGCCTCGTGGCCACCCAGAGCAAAGGGATGAGTCCAACCTGCCCCATCCACATTGGCTAATTGAGCATCAGGATAAGTCCCTCCTCTAGAATCCCCCTCCACGGTCACATTCTATGGCTTCTTTCCCTTCCTAACCATCGTGAGGGCTTTTCTAGAATCTGCTTCTTGGGTACCCCTCTAGGACTCTGGGCGAAGGGTCCCTGGGAAGAGAGACTCCTACTCCAGTAGTTTAACAGCAGCCGCAAAAACAAACCAATGGCTTTGTTTCCATTTTACTCCTAAGAATTTGGTATCAGTCCATCCAGGCTCATAGCTGTGAGCCAGTTGCAATGTTAAAGCAGTCAAGTCTGCAATGAGAGTCTGGAGCCTGAGAACTCAGGATTCATCAGAACAATAAGAAACCCAGCCGAGCTACTCATATCTCCCTGGGTCAGGAGAGGGAAACCCACGGTGCTGGACACGCAAACAAGAGGTTCCTTTTTTCCCTTCCAAGCTCAGCAACACCCACTTGCCTGTTTTCTCATTTTCTCGCTTTATAAGCCATTTTCAGTTTATAATGAGTTTGGAGTTATTAAGAAGAGATACTGAATCCCCAGCTGTTGGGAGCTAAATGAGCCAGCGGAGCGGCTACGTTTACAGTTAACGGGAGAAAAATGCAGCCTCTTTCCAAAGAATAGGGCAAACTTGAATGCTACGTTTATCATAATGAGTTTTCTTTCCAAAAAGATAAGACCCAGCTTCCAAGGTGAGGGGGAAACTTAAACCACAGGGCTGCAGCTATTCAGAAAAGAAAGTGAACAAACTCAGGGAACAGCTAGATCTAAATTTAGTTGCCCCATTCAATATGTGGTAGATTTTCATTTCTCTTTTATTTCTCTTATTTAAAAAAAATTCCTTTTTGAATTTTTTTAATTGAATCACAGTGAGATACAGTTACAAAGCTTCCACGATCAGGTTTTACATGATCAGGTCAGACAAGGTTTCAATACCTATCCCTCCACCAACTTGTCTTAAATTGGTGTTTTCTGGGAAAACCAACTCCTGTGCCCCAGTGGTGAGTTGGAGGAAGAGAACTGGTCTCTTCCAAACCAACCACCTGTCACTCCTTTCCCAGTGTCCCCCACCCTTTCTTGTTCTCGGGTGCCTGGGGAATGTGACTATGGGGTTTTATACTCCCATTTGCTTCTAAAAATGAAAGGACCACAGTGAAACCCACTTTGGAAAGCCAGATTCCATTTCGTGCCTCAGGGTCATGAGTTTACAACCCAGTTCCAGATATCTGACCACAGATAACAAGGATGATTCAAGTCAATGGAACAAGATGTGTTACCTGCTCTATTTTGCTTCTGCACCTCCCTTGTTTTCTCAAGGCTGTGAGAATGTAACTGGCAGGGGGCACCCAGATGCGTAGGAAGGAGGACACTCGGCTTAAAAACCTCTCCCGGGAAGGCGTTCAGGGTTCCAAGTCTCTGCACTCACTTCTGGTCTCTGAATGCTTTGTCTATCTCTGATTTCTGCTGCCTGGTATGAGATCCAGTAAGAGTGCAAGAATGTGGTGGTCCCAGGGCTCTGGAGACACAATTTGAGTGGGCTGTTTTGTGGACACCATAAAGGTTTATGGAGATTTGTCTGATTTGTCCCTGTTTACTCTGGTGAATGGTGGCAACCAGGTGGGGGGAATTATATCTGTACTCCAATGTCAAGGTGACCTTAAAATCCCAAGAGGAGTCTGGCTGGATGAGCATCTGAGTGCTACCCACTTTTTTGGTGTACCTTGCTGTCTACCTGTTAGTCTGTTCGCAGCCTCTGTTGGTTTGTATAATCTTTCTTCTCAGTTTCTCCTTCACTGTGTCCTCTGGTTTCTGCTGATCTGTGTAGCGGCAGATCGTCTGAACACTTTGAAAGAGGAAGCCTCAAATGACCCTCACCAGCGAACCAGCTAGACATCACTATGATTTTCTGGTACCTTTTGTAAACACTTGCCAACTGATAAGGGATGCCAAAAGCCCTTTAAGAAGGCCTACACAAAATTCCTTTGCCTTAACTTAGTCCCCTACTAAGTTTCTCCCCACTTAGGGAACTCCTTTTCTTTTCTTTTCTACCCTCCAATAAACTTCTCTACTTTCCATCTCTGACTCCGAGCATTTTCATTATTCAATATTTTCATGTTGAAAAATTTAAAGAACCTGGGAGTCACGAACGGACATGGAGATCCACTGCTTCTGCCTCACCAAAGCAAGTGGGCAGATGTCTAAAAGAAATTAGAAGCCAGTATCAGAACTTCTTTTTCCCTGATGAGCTGTGGTTTAGCATTGTGGGGGCCCATGATCAGATGTGTGGATAAAATGAGTCTGGATTATTGTGGGCCTTGGAAGCAATGTTATCAATTCTCCCAGGATTCTAGAATGAAGTCACAATTTCAGCCATGAGTCCCAATGAATGTAATAACGTTTCAGAAGTTCTTGAGTTGCCATTTCAATAAGCTCAATGTTGCCATAATAAAATGTAGACTTGGAATGTTAACAGTGGTCCTATCTACATGGACCTTCTGGGATATCTGGGTTGGATGGTGATGAAGATGCTGGTATTCTGTAACAGGTAGGGGAGTTTGGAAAAAGCAGTATTGAAAGACTTGAACAGAGATGCAGTGTGCCTGGTTCAGGGCCAGGCAGGACATGGGCGGGCAGCTGGAAACACCCAAGGGCAGTTTTAGGTCATTTGCCAGTTCATGAACGGAAGGAAAGAATGGAAAATAAACAGTCCTTCACAGGCGCTCTAGGAAACTCCTCCAGGTTTCTCAGCAGAGGGACTTGGAAGAACTGGGAGGCCTGAAGTTAATAAGCATGTGGCCACAGGCAAGGTTCTGAGTAAGGCTCTCCTTTTTGCATGACTTCATTATTTATTAGGTTTGTGACCTTGGGAAAATTATTTATCTTCTCGGTATCTCATTTCCGCGGAGGTCACTGTGAAGATGAAGTGAGTTCGCACCTTTAGAGCTTGGGGTGCATGTTTGGGAAGGATCCAGGGCTGGCCTCGTCAGTGATATGTTTGTTGGCAGGGAGAGGAGGCTTTTGGTAGGATACAGCTCCCCGGGTGGTCACCACCAACGTCTGGATCTGGCTGATCTGCAACAATTTGAGAGACAGTATCCCTTCTCCTTACCAGGAGAAAACCGGGCTCAGGGAGATGTTCAAATGTCTCATAGGCTTTCCCCCCACTAAGCTCTCTAGGCCTGACTCACCTTTTCTTCTTCTCAGCCTGGGTGTGGAGGGGGCATGTTCAGGGAAGCAGAGCTATAGTCTCCTGGGGGGGGGGGGGGGGCAACACTCTTCTGTGTTGGTCTTCCTAGAGCCACTGCTACTCACTGCCTTTCGAGTCGTGGCTGTGTAATGATGAGCCCCATTTGCCCGCCCTATTCAGGAAAATGTGGAGCATCTTGTGGCACTGTGAGTTCCCGCACCGGGTTGTCTAGGTTTTACAGGTGTGCCAACCAAACATGGTGGCGGTGAGCTGGCTGTGGGCTCTAAGTGAGCCAGCGTAGGGCTCTAGGTGGAGTGGCAGTCTTTGTGTGCCAGCCCTGACCATTTGGTTATATGCCATGATCCTAAATCATATACAAAGACACTCGTCATGAGGAAAGTGGGGTGAGTGAGGACCCTGTGGACCTCTACTATGTATCTGATGGAGCCTGATGTCCCGCACAAACTCACATACTAATCAGCACCTCATGAAGCCAATGGCAGTCACAGACTAGAGCTCCATTCAGAGGGGGCTGTTGAGTGAGCTGGTCTCTGCTGGGACACTTCCTCCAACACCCTAATCCACCCATACCACCCTCCAGACACCACACCTGATGGTTGAAACTGCAGTTTTAGACATTTTATTGTGTTCTAATCAGAAATGATGATTCAGAAAAAAAATTAATAAATAAAAGTGGAAGAGCAGAGTTCCTCTTTGTGACTGAGAAAGAACATCATCTAGTCTCTCTGAGGGGGGAAATGAATCCTCATTGACAGCTTTATTTGCAATTTGTGGGATCCATGGAGAATTATCTACAGGTATACACGTTGCCTCTGGATGCTTCTTCCTCCAACAGTGGTGACCATGTACGGAGAAAGTGGGGGAGGCGGTGCGCTCACACCCAGTGCTGTCCTGCACTGAGGGCCACGCTGAAAGTTCTCAGGGCCCGATGGGTCCCTCTGATGGCCAGTAGGAGAGACCCGGCTTCCGCCTCATGGCCGGCCTCCTGCAGAAGCCTGGCCAACCCCTCCGCATCCCAGCGCTCCCGCTGGGGACTTGTCAAGAGGTGCTGGAGGAGATGTGGGTAGAAGGGGGTGGAGATACACTTCACGAGCAGCTTGGCATCCAGGAGCAGGGAAAGAAGTTCTTGGTCACAGTTGGAACTGTTCACCTTCAGGAAATAAAACAGGCAAAATGTGAGAGGGACATGGTGCTGCCTCACCCACCAGACTCCTCAAACACCCCACCACTTTGTTGTGTATGCATTGCCTTTCTGCTTCTGGATTGGGGTGGGGCAGAGTTTGGGGTTCTACCCATCCGTGCTCAAAGCTTACTTCTGGCTCTGTGCTCAGGGATCCCTCTGGGTGGGGCTCGGGTCAGGGGAGAGGAGACCATATGTGGTGCCAGGGATCAAACCAGGTCAACAGCATGCAAGGCAAGTCCCGCCCGTACTGTATGATCTGGCCCCTGCTGTCATGCTTTTGTCATCATAAAACGTTTTCATGTCATAAGTCTTTCTCCACAGAGCACAAGGTGAGGCAGGGGAGTTGGGGCATCACAGGCCTGGGAAGGCAGACTTACTTCTTGAATAATAAATAACCCAGAGTCCCAGACCTACACGTCTCTGCTACCACAGCAACCACAGCCAGGTACTGAGTGCCAGTAAGTGCTGCCAACTCCACACACCCTACACCACTGAGAGTCCGCCTACTTCAACTCACAAAGGTTACACCTTCATCACTCTGTTTTATGGCCATGGGAAACTGAGGTGTAAGCCCTGGACTACGGCTCATGGTCAGTAGCCCGGGGGCCAGATTTAGAACAGAGGTCAGCCTGGGCTTCAAAGCTTTCCGCCGCCATACTGAGAGTCATGTTGTGTTTTCATCATGGTCCATATTCTTTAACCCAAACCTCTGCGACGTGTAGGTCCACATGAAACACAAGTCCTTCCAGAGCAGGCAAAAACATTATGTCCATCAACCCCACTGATGTAAATAGGATACTTGTCAGATGCTTTAAAAGAACGTTATTTGGAGATTTTAAGACCAAACTTACCTTTTGAAAACAGGTTTTCACCTGCACAACCAAACTTTCTCCCTGAACTCACCTTCTGAATCTACGGCTACTTTACCATGACTGTATTGCTGAGCATCTATTTTTCCTCATTACTTTCTATATTTTGGTGGGAAATGAAGTCATCACTAATCACATTTCAAAAGTGAGCCGTTTACAGTGGGCTGTCTTAGAGGAGCCTTGTGGCAGGTCATTCTTAATGCCACTGTGTGCTCTGAATTGTCTGGGTTCTAGAAACCTTGGGAATGCTGTGACATTTCTCAGCCAATTAACAACTGTTTAGACTGGCGACATCACACCACTGTACACAATGTGTGAGTTCTGTGACATGGAGGGATGACGAGAAGGTCAACTGTGTCTCTGAGCTGGAAGAGAGTCGATCCTGGGCGTGCGAGTCATTGCTCACTCCCAGACATTGCGGCTGTGTGATCCTCTTGAACCCACCCTGAGCGTCAGGGGCAGTCGGCCATCTGCTTTAACTCCCTCAGCCAAGAGGACTCCTCCCTCCTCCACTCCCCTCATGCACATATGCCTCTTCTGTGGTGACACAGTAACTGGTGTGTCTGCACCACCCCCTGCCTATCCCCCAACCCTTCCCCTGCCTCCCCGCCCCATGGGAATTTCTTGAGTACTTTTACCACCCCCTGATCAATGGCTGACCAGCTTTCTCTCTTCCTACTTGGTAAGCTGACGGGTGTGTGAGAAGACCCCATCCATCCGCACAGAGCACGGGAATGGGAGCAGAATCCAGAACTGAAGAGTCTCGCCAAGCCTGGACATCTTGCCTTGGCCTTGCATTTTCATCAACCCGGTCACATACGATTCCTCTAACCCTGGCTCAGGACAACACTTGGGCTGAGCTTAGTTTAACACGTGTGGGTCTGTATCAGTTTTTCGGAGGTGGAAAACAGGCCAGAGCACTGGGACAGACGGTCAGTTTTACTGCTGATGGGGGCACAGCAGTGTTCACTGCCCCCCACAGGACCCTGCCCGTGGTTCTGCTGGGATTTCTTCTAGCCTTACCACTGCTGTCTTCCTCATTCCTTCCAGAAGACTCTGCCCTCAACACATCAGCCTCTCCCGTGGATGATGCCCTGCTCACGTGCCAGTGGGGACACACTAACTCTAACATGACACTCTAAGACACTCATCATCTCATCTGGTACCTCAGAGAGGCCTACGTCATGAGTGATGTGGCTGCCGACCTGGGACCAAGTGACCTCAGCTCTGTCTAGTCTTGCTGGTGCCTCCCCCTCCCCAACATACATACCTCCAGCTTCCCCAAAGTGGGGCTCCTGACTTCTCTGTTCCCTGCTGCAGCCCCCAAGCCCAGAGTAACACACGCCACATGCAAGCAGCTCAGCCAGATCGTGGAGAAAAGACGGAAGAGGAACCCCAGAACCTCGTTTCACCTCACCCCTCAGTCTTCATGCATGCAAAAGCTCCCCTCCCCCTTTTACACACACTTACTCTCACATACACTCTCTCAACACTTTCTCACATACATACACACACTCTCTGACACATACTTATTCTCTCACACGTACGTTCTCACACTTTGTCTGTCTGTCTCTCACACACACACAGAGGCAGCTGAGGTACCACGTGTGCTGTTATTTTTGGCTCACCCGCAGAATAAAGAACCCCTCCCCTCCATCCCTCCAGGAGGGAACAGAGCCCTGCCAGAATGCTATAGGCAAGCGTTTGATAAAACCCATGGATAAAAAAGCTCAGAATCCAAACACTGCAGGGTAATGCTGTCTTTGTGGCTCTGAATAAGTCTTCAAGGCTAGCACACCTTTATTATTCTCTCTGTTTACTGACTAGCCCTCCCTCTGGGGGCTCGAAGACTCGAGAAAGGGAGTGATGGATTTTTCTGGCTGGAGGAAGAGATGGGTTTTCTGCTGGCACCTGTGGCCACTGCTCCTCTCATTCCCTCTTCTCTCTCCTCCCCTCCAGGGTAGTGCCACAGTGTTCAGCTTCACGTGCCCTGGCTCTCATACAGCTGCCTGAGGCCTGGCACTGGAGCAGTCGGGGGCAGGGACAAGGTCACGTGCAAAGGAAGGCAAATCCTTCACCCACTCTGCTGGCGGCTGGGCCAGGGCCAATGGCATGCAGTGAGATCCCCTTTGGCTGGTGCCATGGCAGGTTCCCCACAGAAAGAGACTGCTGACCCTCGATGCCTGGGCAGGGCCAAGGGAAGATTTGGGGGAAGAGCAGGTCTAGCTTCTTACAGGCACGTCTGACAAAATAGGAGTGACTGTCATTTTACTGCCATTCTCTTTTTCCATTTGTGGGGCAGGGGGATGACATCAATGATGCTCATGAGCTACTCCTGGGGAGTATGTGGCCCAGGAGAGGGAAGAGCGGTTTGCTGCCTTGCAGCTGCCTAACTCCAGTAGCCCCAGTATAATCTCTCTGGCCCTCCATTCTTTTCACTTTGTATTCGGTTCTGGTTCCTTACAAAAGAACGAAATGGCCAAAGCATGCTTTGCAATGCCATGTGCAATGGAAATAACTGGGTAGTAGTTATTCTGTGCATATTCGGGACAAAAAAGAGAAGGAAAAAGGAGAGAGAGAGAGAGACAGAGAGAGAGAGAGCGAGCTCGATGGGCTTGAGCACATGCTCTGCATGTAGGGAACCGGAACGAGGAGAAAAAGGGGTGGAGAGGAGAGGAGAGAGAGAGAGAGAGAGAGAGAGAGAGAGAGAGAGAGAGAGAGAGAGAGAGAGAGAGAGAAAGAGAAGAGGAGAGGAGAGAAAGAAAAGAGAGGAAAGAGAACAGAGAGCAGAGAGGAAAGAAAAGAGAGAAAGAGAGGTGAGAGAGGAGAAAGAGAAAGAGGGAGGGGGTGAGAAGGGAGAATACACCTTCATAAGGACACTTTCCAGTAAGTGCATTTTAAAGAGAAGGCACCCTAGAGGCAGAGAAGGAGAAGCTGGCCCTAGGTCACAGGAGACCAGGTATCCACACAGGACCCCTGCTCAGAGGGGGCAAGGTCAGCCTGAGCACTCCTCAGCACGGCACAGCAGAGCAACAGAACCCCGGACACTTCCGACATTGTAGAGTTGCTAGATGAGTTTGTTAAGCTTCAAATTGTCTGCATTTCTCTCTGGACAAGAATTCTTACTTAAGGCACCAAAAACGTGGAGCTACCAACCCCAGAAGCATGGCACTGTCTTTCTAGCCATTACTCACTCTAACCTTGGTTGCCTTTCTTTTTGACTTAAAAGAGAAGACAAATGAGGAAATCATTTAAAAAGTATAGTCACTGATATCCGTATCACAAGAGAATTTACTTTTCCTCTTCAATAATTGTGCATAAATATGTTTAATAATAAATCAGGTATTTTAACCTATCTTTTTCATTATGTTAGGAGTTTAAAAATGATTTTATGTACTTTCATTCTTAATTTTTTAATGGTTGCAAAATAGTTTATTAAACAGAAGAAATAAGTTAATTAACTTACGTTGCATTTCAATTATTTCAAAATTGCTTGCTACTGCTATGATTGTTTTTGCAGTGCCAGGGAATTGAACAAGGACCTTACACATACCAGGCAAGTGCACTATCACTGAATTATATCTGGCCAACTGTCTGATACTGGAAAGATGCTGAAAGTAAATGACGTTCTTCCTACATATATTTTCTTCTAGAAATACTTCCTTAAGGCAAATCATGGGGGAGGAATTAACAGAGTGTTAGTGGCTCAATGGGTCCTCCTGACAATTCTTTTGTTTTGTTTTTGGGTCACACCGGGTGATACTCAAGGATTACTCCTGGCTCTGCACTCAGGAATTACTCCTAGCGATGTTCAAGGGACCATACAGGGTGCCAGGATCGAACCCTGGTCAGGTGCGTGCAATGCAAGCAGCTGACAGTTGTACAAATATTGAAGCTCTCACCCCCATTTTTTTTTCTGCTTTTTGGGTCACACCCGGCGATGCACAGGAGTTACTCCTGGTTCATGCACTCAGGAATTACTCCTGGCGGTGCTCAGGGGACCATATGGGATGCTGGGAATTGAACCTAGGTCGGCTGCATGCAAGGCAAACGCCCTACCCGCTGTGCTATTGCTCCAGCCCTCTCACCCCCATTTTT